TAAAAATAAAATATTACAGATATAATTGAAAGCTCTTGGACACTCCTGTATGATATCACTTATTCTCTTCTCTACTCCTTCTCCTGAGGTGATCACTATCTTGAATTTGGTATTTGTCATTCCCATGCATTTTGTTTGTTTGTTTGTTTGTTTGTTTTGAGACAGAGTCTTGCTCAGTTGCCCAGGCTGGAGTGCAGTGGCACAATCTTGGTTCAGTGCAACCTCTGCCTCCCAGGTTTGAGCGATTCTCCTGCCCTAGCCCCCTGAGTAGCTGGGACTACAGGTATGTGCCACCACACCTGGCTAATCTTTGTGTTTTTAGTAGAAACTGGGTTTTGTCATGTTGGCCAGACTGGTCTTGAACTCTGGCCTCAAGTGATCCGCCCACCTCAGCCTCCCAGAGTTCCAGGATTCCGGGTGTTGAGCCACCATGCTTGGCCTCCATGCATGTTTTTGCACTTTAACTGCATATATACTAATCCACACTTAGCATTGTTCTGCATGTTTTCAAACTTTAAATAAATGACATCTTTAAATATTTGTTCATTCTACTCAACAAAATGTTTCTAAGATTAGGCAAAGTGATCCACACAACTCTATTTTAACCCATTATTATATGCTATTGTATGTGTGTAGCACAATTTATCTTCCCAGTCTCCCCTTGGTGTCCACGTATGGTTTTTCCCATTTTAAACAATGTTGTAATAAACATCTTTATACAGTTAAGTCCTTATTTAGGGCTGTGGATAAGTTCTTAGAAACTGTAACTTTAAGCAAAACAACAGATAAGGTAAACAATTTTTTTTCCCTCATCAAGCTTACAACTAAACATTGTTATTAGAGGACCTGCTGTAACGTGCATGTTTTTGAAAGTCCGCTTCCAAGAATCTACCAACGACTTTAAGAGAGGACTTACTGTCCCGTGAGTCCTTATGCACATGTCCACGAGTGTCTCTAAAAAACTACCTAGAAATGGATTTCAAAGTTGAAGGGTATCCACAGCTTCGAGTCTTTACGTTGCTAAACTGCTCTTCAAAGTGATTATAGCAATTTATACGGTATATGACAGTTCCCATTGCTGTCCAATCCTACAAAAATTTGATATTGTTGGCTTAAACATTTTTGCCAAAACGAAGAACATAAAGTGGAATCTCACTGATATTTTAATGGCCATTTCACAATTCAAGTTATTCTCTTCTCTACTCCTTCTCCTGAGGTGATCACTATCTTGAATTTGGTATTTGTCATTCCCATGCATTTTGTTTGTAATGAACACCTATTTACCGGCCCATTAGGTTTCGTCATCTGTAAACTACCAACTTGTATCTTTTGCCAGTTTTTCTGTTATTTGTCTTTTTCTAAGTGATCTGTCAGTTATATACGTCATATTCTACCCTGTGTTTTCATTTTGTTTATGATTTCTTTTTTGAACAGCGTTTCAAATTTTAGTGTGGTCACATTTTTAAGTATTTTCTATTAGGGCTGGGTATGGTGGCTTATGTCCATTATCCCAGCACTTGAGAGGCCAAGTCAGGAGGATCATTTGAGCCCAGGAGTTTGAGATCAGCCTGGGCAAAACAGTGAGACCTCATCTATACAAATAATAAAAATAGAATTAGTTGGGCATGGTAGGGGCAGACCTATAGTCCCAACTACTCAAGAGGCTGAGGCAGGAGAACTGCTTGAGCCTGAGAGGTCAGTGCTGCAGCAAGCCATGATCACACTACTGCATTCCAGCCTGGGCAACATAGTGAGACCCTGCCTCAAGAAAAATTTCTATTATGCTTTGTGATTTTTATTTCTTTTTAAAGAAATTCTTCCTACCCCAACATTATATAGACAGCCTCTTATTTTCCCTTCTAAAAGTTAAAAAACATTGCTTTTCAAGTGCAGATCTTCATCTAGAACTTATTTTTGTGTATGGTACAGGTTAAGATTCTCTACATGGACAATCCATCATCCAAGAAACATTTATTGAACGCTTAACTCTTTCTTCACTGATTTATAATCCCTCCATGATCAAGTATCAAGTTTCAGATTGACATAGGTTTATTTCTGGGCCCTCTACTCTGTTTTGCTGTTCTTTTGATCAATTTGTAAGCCAATACAAAGCTGTTTTCATTTACTTTAAATCCATAGTAAGTTGTAATATCTGGTAGAGTAGATTCCTCTACTTCATTCTTCAAAAGTGCCATAGAAAATTCTAGGCTATTGCTCTACCATACAAATTTTAGAATCAGCTTGTCAAGTTCCAGAGAAAGTCCAGTTGAGATTTTGAATGGAACTGAATAGAATTTATAAATTAGTTCAGGATTTCAATTGCTGTAATGGGTTTTTGGACAAGAAATATCTGAGCTGGAGCTTCCAGATAGCTGAAAACATGGAGGTTCCTGGAGAGTGGCGTGCTCAGGAAAGGCATGGAAGCTCCATGCCCCTTCCTCATACCTCGCTCTGTACATCTCTTCAATTTAAATATATATAATATATATTATATATAATATATTATTTATATAATATATATGTCATATAATATATATATAACATATATATTATATATTATATATAAACATATATATACATATATATTTAGTCACCATATATATAATGAATTAATAAATATATGGTGGCTGAATGATCAATTAAAATGTCTTACCTCTCAAAGCAACAATTAACTTATAAACTGCCATGCCTCCCATTTATGGACTTAGAAATTCTATCACTTAACATACATTATAAAAACCAAAGCCAGGTGCCATTGCTCACACCTGTAATCCTGTAACTAGACAGCTTAACTTCAAAATGCATTTAAAAAATTTTTTTTCCTTTCTCTTGGGTTTCAAGATGTAAGCTTGAAGCAAACCAAAGAAGCCTTTGCCCTTAGTCTTAAAATAGACTCCATGTCCCCGCCTTTCTCACTGTCTCACTGTTACACTCCCTTCACATTTATCTAAGTGCATGCTGGTATCTAATTATCTGCCTGCTTAGAAGTTCCAGGTGCTAAACTTGAATTTTCAGTCAGACAGACCAAGCTTGGAGATCCAGCTGCAAAATTCCAGAGATAACCTCAAGGTGGCTAGTCAACACCCCAGCCATTGTTGAGATGATGCCAGCCTGCTTCCACCAGGACTGGGACCCAAGACAGCCACCAGAACAAGAAACACAGACATCGTGCTCCGTATAATTTTTGCATGCACTCTAGCCTGGGCAACAGAACAAGACCTTGTCTCTGAATTTAAAAAAAATGAATAAAATTTTAGAAGACTGAGAAAAAAAACCATTGGAGCAATTAAAATCCTGAACTAATTTATAAATTCTATTCAGTTCCATTCAAAACACCAACTGGCCTTTCTCTGGAACTTGACAAGCTGATTCTAAAATTTGTAGGGCAGAGCAATAGCCTAGGATAGAATGAAGTAGAGGAATCTACTCTACCAGATATTATGACTTATTATGGATTTAAGGTAAATGAAAACAGCATTGTATTGGCTTACAAATTGATCAATAGAACAGCAAAACAGAGTAGAGGGCCCAGAAATAAACCTATGTCAATCTGAAACTTGATATTTGATCTTGGAGGAATTATAAATCAGTGAAGAAAGAGTTTAGTATTCAATAAATGCTTCTTGGATGTTCTTTTTAAAACCTTGCCTTGCCCCTAAAATGCAAAGTAGTTGCATTGGATGGGAATCTAGACACTTTCCTATTACTAGTTTTGGCTAATAAAGTCACTTTCTTTCTACTAGACCTGCCTCTTGTTAAATGGACTCTGCATGTGGTGAGCAATCCGACTTGTGTACAGTTACAATCCCTGCACTTTGAGAGGCTGAGGCAGGAAGATAACTTGAGCCTAGGATTTTGAGACCAGCCTGGGCAACATAGTGAGACCCTTTTTCTCCAAAAAATAAAAAACTCAGCTGGGTGTGGTGGCAGATGTCTATAGTCCCAGCTACTTAGGAGGCTGAGGTGGGAGAGTTGCTTCAGCCTAGGAATTTGAGGCTGCAGTAAGCCATGAACACACCACTGCACTCTAGCCTGGGCAACAGAACAAGACTCTGTCTCTGAATTTAAAAAATAAATAAAATTTAAAAATATTTAAAAAAAAGAACAAAAAATTTCTGGAACTCTCTATACCCTTATTTCCATTCTACATATCTTATCATAAGATAAGAATCTTAACTATGAAAAAAATTAGCTGGATGCATAAAATGATCATTGGAGCATTACTTACAGTAGGAAAAAATGAAAATAACCTAAATATCAATGACAAAGGACTAGTTAATTAAATTAGAAGAAATATACCCAGTGATACACTATGATAGTGAGAAAACTACTGGCTCTAAAAACCATTTACAGCAATAATGAAAATGGTTACTTATGAAATATTATTAAGTAATAAAATTAGGATATCGATTTGTGAGTACAACGTGAATACGACTGTAGAAAAAAACTCTGGAATGCATGCACATGAAAATAAAATGTACTAAACTATTTACAATAGGGGAATATGGAATCACAAATAGAATTCTCTCACCTATCCCACCTGTTAAAAAAATCTATTGTCTAAAGGAGATAGTTTTCTATCATAACAAAATACATCTTAAAAAAAAAACATTAATAAAGTGAGTAGGACCCAGCTGTGTCGTCAGGGTGTCATTTAAAGTTCAAGAAGACAGTGCTTGTTGGAAGCAAAGCATTTAAGGCTGACACTCAGGGTTTTGGATCTAGCTCAATCACTGATTGTTTTAGAAGTTTTGGGAAAGATTATCACTCATTTTCTCCGTGAAAAAAATAAAAATATTTAGATGTGTAGATTAGTCAGGAAACCTTTATGAATGGGCATTCAATAAGACAACTGAAATTTCATCTAAATCATACAAAACACAAAGACTGCCTATCTCATTTTCTTTCAAGTATGAATGAGAGTAAAGAGCAGGGAGTTTGCCATTTGGAACTGGGAAAAAAAAATGCCAACAGCATCGTTTTCAGAGTTTGTACTTTACCTTAAAAACGTGAAAGGCTTCGAACTGGATGTTGGGACTTTTATCCCGAAGGAGGTTCATCATGAGTTTCAGGTTCTCCGGCTTGCTGATGTACTTTGTCATGATGGCAAAGTTGTGACGGTCCAGGATCAGCTCCCCTAGCAGCTACAGGGAAACACAAAACCAAAGCTGTAATCTCAGAGCCACCTGATTCAAAATATAGCTCACATCTTCTCACTGACAAAACACAAACATGAGTAAGAATGGTGTCATGAAAAAAATTAGGGGGTCCTTAATTGCATCTCAAAGAACAGGCATAAAAGCAGTAGTTATTGAGTAAGTTTTTCACACTGTTCTGCTGATGTCAGTGCTTAGTACCTTTTTTTAGTCAGTCTTCGCTGCAGCTCACCTAGAGCTAGGCAGAAATATTTATGATTTTCAATACTTACTTACTTTAATCATCTTGCTTTCTACTAATGTATTGCTCTGTAGGCATTCAGGTAGAAGGAATAACAAAACTGGCACCATAATGGTACCTTCTCTACCTGAATAAACGTATGCTAGGAGTTCATTATTAAGTCAGTTTGTTAAATGACTCCTACATTTCCCGACTTTTATTATAAAATCTGATATAAAGCCAAGAAAAATAGTTGACCCCAAATCCTTATCAAATTTAGTAAGTGCAGCAAGTTTTAATTAAAAAGCAAAGCAAAGGCTGGGTGCGGTGGCTCAAGCCTGTAATCCCAGCACTTTGGGAGGCCGAGGTGGGTGGATCACGAGGTCAAGAGATCGAGACCATCCTGGTCAACATGGTGAAACCCCGTCTCTATTAAAAAATACAAAAAATTAGCTGGGCATGGTGGCGTGTGCCTGTAATCCCAGCTACTCGGGAGGCTAAGGCAGGGGAATTGCCTGAACCCAGGAGGCAGAGGTTGTGGTGAGCCGAGATCACACCATTGTGCTCCAGCCTGGATAACAAGAGCGAAACTCCATCTCAAAAAAAAAAAAAAAAAAAAACCAAACAAAAAACCAAAACATTTTTGGTGACAAATTAATAGTTTCCCAAATACAGCATTACCCTAAAACAAAATAAAAATACCAAAAGTAAGAAAAGTTGAAGACCTTCTAGCAACATAGCTGAATGTATTGTTGCTCTATCTCAGAAACTTTTTTTCTCACTGTAATTCTGGAGACAGACTGACAGCCCCTGGCTGCTGTAGCAATTCCTAAACCTTCAGCAGCCAGGGGGCTGAAACATACCATAACATAATTTTATATAGAAGATATATTTAGTGTTCAATTGTTCTATTTACTAGACTTTTTCTGAAGGCCTCAGGAGAATAAAACATTGTTACATGGTTACAAAAATCCTGGATGGGAAGAAAAGCACATCAAACTGAGGGCCAGCTGTCTGTCACAAAGGAGTCCCAGATGTGTACAAGTGTCCGGCTGCCAGTAAACCACCACATTGCCTGTGATGTATCTTTTGTCTGCTTAACAAGTAAGAAGTACACAACTTGAGGTTATTTTAGTACATGAAAATAAGGTTTATTGAACCTGAAAAAAGGATGACCACTGTTAGAGGCTGGCTGGTGACTAGTTATTCTCACATACACGGAACAGCAACCATGTAGTCAGATTGTTAGTCTGCATCCTCCTTAATCTTTCTGCAGCTTCTAAAACTAACCCAATACCTTTTGAAAACCTTCTTTGCTCCTGGTTTCTTACTTTGTGCAGCTTGTTCCTTTGCTACCTCTTCCATGGCTCCCTTACCTTTTGCACTACTTATGCAATAATTTTCCAAATTGTTTACATTGAACTGCTGTCTTTTATCTCCCAAAAGTCCCATCTATACCCATGGGTTCAACTGTAACATCTAGGAAGATGTCTCCCAAATCTACATTTCTAGTCTTAGCTTCTTTCCTAAACTCTAGACTCACATTTCTAACTGCCCACTGGGGAGGTCCACATGAACACTGCTGGTCCTTCACACTTCACATCTCTAAAACCAAGTCCCTTTCTGCTCTTTGCTAATGGCATCAGGAGCTGCCCTCCTTCAGCTGAAAAGAGAGCTAAAGTCTTCCTTAGCATCTTTCTTTTCTTTACTCCTCACATCAAATCTCCATCCAAGATCTACCAATTTTCTGCTTTTAAGTGTTTCTTGAACACCTTTCATTCAATGTTCACAGCCGGTAATCTCTTTCAAAACCTCACTACCTTTCAGCTGACCTACTGCCACAGCATGCAAAATGGTCTCTCCTTCAGTCTTCACCTAATCCAACCTATTCTGCACATTTTGGCAGAGAAATCTTCCCCAAAATCAGCTGTATTTGTTACCAATTCCACTTAGAAAGTGAATGCTTAAAGCAGCAAATTCCTAGATTCCCATAGATTTAGAAAAAAGGTAAACTCATTAAGATGGCATTCCCAGCCTCTGTGATGCGGAATCATTTCTCCGGCTTCCTCGCCTTGGCTCCCTTTCTCCGTCTTCATCAATCTCCTTTCTGTAGCTTTACCTCCCCAGCTCCAAAATCTTTCCCATTTTCACCTCTTCTCTGCCTGTCCAAACCTGGACAGAACTAGCTCAGAACTAGCTCAGACGTCACCTTTGGGAAAGCCTTTCCTCTTCTCTACAGTTGACTTTGCTTTGCCTTGCAGTACAGTTATTTGTGAGACTCCATAGGGGCTTATTCTCTAAACCAGGCGTCTCCAAACTACGGCCCGCGGGCCGCATGTGGCCCCTTGAGGCCATTTATCCGTCCCCCCGCCGCACTTCAGGAAGGGGCACCTCTTTCATTGGTGGTCAGTGAGAGGAGCACAGTATGTGGCAGCCCTCCAATGGTCTGAGGGACAGTGAACTGGCCCCCTGTGTAAAAAGTTTGGGGACGCCTGCTCTAAACAGTCTCAAATCCCCTTACAACCTGTGTGATGTGCATGGGTATTGCTGGGAAAATAGAAGTCCTACCCACATATCCAGAGCACAATACAGTTACTAATCTCTGAAAAAGAGACCGCATAACAGACAAAACTCTGCCTTATTACAGCCATGCAGCTACAATCCATTACATACATACATCTTCAAGATGCAGCGTAACCTGTCCACTAGAGGAGGACCTGACTACCATTTCTGTGCACTCTTTCATAGTTTGCCCTAATTCACCTAGCAATTGAGGTGACCATTTGTTTTAGCTATTTATCTGAATAATAAAACTTCCCTTATCTCTCTGACAAGCAAATAGTTGCAGCTTGGAAAAGGGCACATAGGTTAAACTCCCCTGGTGACAGGGAGATAGTATCATCTTCCTAGATGCTTATATTTCAAAAGTATGGCTTCCAGATCTTCCAAAAAGAAAAAACAAAAACTAAAAGACTTCCAGGTTGTAAAGCTGTTAAGAGGCTTACTTATCTTCTAAAGATATATACAGAAAAAAATCAAATACTGAATAGACATATACACACGTTAAAAGGCTTCAGCAAAAAGAAAATTTCATTTTTGAAAATTTACACACATATATTCAATAAACGTTTGTTGAAGGTATATTTATGAGTTAAGTTTGGACTAGATCACTTCAACTTTTATTACCTGGGGATACCTATATATAAATTCTATCCAATCTACCCTCTGCTAATAGGATTTCATAATTTTTCTGAAACGATTGTGTTAATTCAACACTAAATTTTTTAGCCATTAAATGTTAGTCTATTTTAATATTGACAATGACAAAAATACTACATTCCAGAATAATACAAAGTACTATAAAGCAATACTATACTAAGTAAATGGAAAACACACATATTTTACTTCTTTAAATTTTTTATTTTGTATGCTTCATAGTACATAGCTAAGCCATGCAGCAAGTGGAAATAAGTTTTTAGAAACTTAAGCGTTTTAATGAAATTGACCAGAGCCCCAAAAATTCCCCAGTTTCCACCAAGCTTCTTTTGAATTATAATCCTTCTTGCTAGTAATTAAATGCCAGGCCTCTCTGCAGAAGATAAGAAAGAAATTCCTGAGCTCTGTCACATGATGGAAAGAAATTTCTCTGTTAATTATTTTTTTATTGACACCGGGAATTAAGCACCCCAAGACAGTGCAGGCAAATTTAGAATATGATTAACAAAAGGCAGGAGGTAGCAACTTCTTTGGAATCAGAAAATAGCCTAGTACTTAAGACAGTTTATTACTTACAAAGTCACTATATAATAATCTGACCTCTCTTGTTTCCTGCAATTATGAAACATCGATGTAAAACATTATAGAATCCATCTACATAGAAGTACAGTAGTGTAAAAATAGAATATATTGCTACTACAGATCTAATTCCCAAAAGGAAAAGCCAAAATCGCATCAGTGGAGCTTCCAGGATGTTTTTCTAGTTAAAAAAAAAAAGAAGCAAACAATATTTATTTAATGAGTAAACAATAGCAATTTAATGATCTTGATGTTTACATATGAACTTATTTCATGTCTACCTTTTGTTTGCTTGAACAAAGTGATACAAAACCATTTTAGCAACATCTCTTCCTACAATCTAACATTTAAAAAAAGCCATCTCTCCAGTAACAATTATTTTAATACTTTCTGCATTCTTAGGTAATTTATCTGCATTTTTTAAAGTGTCCCATCAGTGCTTGGTTTTACCATGCTATAAATCAGACATCCATGAGACACCTAACTGTAAAGATTTTAGGCAGGAATCACAGGAACCACAACCAGGAAAGATGTCTCGTGAGTAGGCTGGGGCATTTGTAAATAAGTAGGAAAGATAAATAGCTTTCTTCCTCCTAATTTGGTTCAATCACCTTAGTTCATGCAAATCTCTCAATTTTGATCCAGTATCTGACAGACTCCCACTGAAAAACAGGAAGGATTTGGAGAATTTTTGAGCAACTTCCTATATGCTGGCCCTTCAGAGCATCATCACCTCTGTTTACTACTCCAATTACCATCTTCTTTTCAGGGCCACTACTTGTTGTACCATGGACGAGCTTACCTCATTGTGGCTATCCCTGTGGAGCCCTACAAATAAAGAATTCTATTCTTTATGTATGCAGCTGTATAAACAGTATACATCCATATCTTCATCTGCTCTTAGCAAGCTTTCTGGACATGGGAGAACATAGCACAGAGGTCACTGTCTCTGCCCAAAGGTCAATTCCACACATAGTTTGGTCTCATCACTACTGGCTCCAGCCCAGACAGCAGCATATCTGTGGGCTTTTTTTTCTAGATAGGTCTCCTGGTATGAGTTTCTACACAAAGGGGAAACTCAATAAAAAGTGATGGATGGATGGCTAAAAATGGCCGTCCCATTAATACACAGTGAGGGCACAAATCCAAAAGAAACCAAGTCATGGCTGATGCAGGACTGTGGGCAAAGTAAATTGACAAAAATGTGACACAAAACAGATTGACTTTATTATCTAAGCTTAAAATTAGACCCCAAATTTAGAAGCAAACACATTGTTCTATGAATGCCATCATCTTGGCATGTAAAAATAATACAAGTGTGTGCCACTATATCCAAATCTAGAAAAAAAAGGAAAAAATGATTAATACAAGTGCGATATTCAGCAAACTGGACCATCACACCAGTTGCCACACTAAAAATAGTTTTATCATCTGCTGAAAACATTGTTTTTGTGGGATTCTGAGTGGGATCTGCAAGGCAGAGATGCAGCTCTCGTCCACATCTCCCTCCTCTCAGAGGCTCTTCCACCTCCCATAGGCCACTCCAGGCACCTTTCCACTGAGGGAGGGAGGGCCACTCATGGATGGATGTGATCTTACTCTGTCATTTTCACAGCCAGTTAATAGGTGCATAACCTCAAGTAGCAGAGGTAATTTGGTTACACACACACACACACACACACACACACACACACACACACCCTTATCAGAGTCATCTTAATTTTTCACAAATTTAGCCCTCTGTTCAAAGATCAACTTATCAAAGAGATTTCACTGATAGTCTAGCTACTCTGGTACACACCTCCCCACCATCCTCCGAGTCACCACTTTCTGCCTCCTTTCCCTACTTTTCTTTTTAGTACTTAAAACCATCTGAAAATTATGTATTTATTTTTCTTATTATCTGTTTTCCTCCAATAGAATGTGAGGTCCAAAGCTGTTCTTAGCTGTCATCATCTATCTGGAGAATAAGCACATAAATATTTGTTGACCAAATGGAATGTCTTATTACCTCCCTCACACCTCCTTCTCCAATAATTCATCAAACTATGCTATTTATGGGTAATTGAGAATTGACTTTATTTTTGTTTCCAGCTAGCTGCATTGTCTTTTAATCTCTTGCCAGATTCTGTTTCAGTGTAATCCTAGCAGTATTTTAGAAAAGCAAAGTTTCGTATATGGGATCATGTATCTGTTTGTTAGTTGATTTTTAAAAAACATTTCTCGGCCGGGTGTGGTGGCTCAAGCCTGTAATCCCAGCACTTTGGGAGGTCGAGACGGGTGGATCACGAGGTCAAAAGATCGAGACCATCCTGGTCAACATGGTGAAACCCCGTCTCTACTAAAAATACAAAAATTAGCTGGGCATGGTGGCACGTGCCTGTAATCCCAGCTACTCAGGAGGCTGAGGCAGGAGAATTGCCTGAACCCAGGAGGCGGAGGTTGCGGTGAGCCGAGATCGCGCCATTGCACTCCAGCCTGGGTAACGAGAGCGAAACTCCGTCTCAAATTTCTGTTCTAATTCTTTTTTTTTTCCTTTTCAAAGCGCTGTTTAATTTTTTTCTTTTTCTTCTCTTCTAATTCTTAAGGAACAATCATGTTTCATGTTTCCATCTCTTCTGTAAATATAATGTGAACAGGTCATGTTAGGAGGTGGAAGTATTTTAATCAACCTAGGTTGTTTAAAACACCTAGGTCGGAAAACACTGACTGACCTAAATGCTCAGGGAATGGAACCTGGCGATGAAATGTAGTATACAAAATTATTTAAGAAAATATGCTACAAATCTGGGAGATAAACGTCTTCCATAAAACAGAAGCCCATAACACTTCAACTATCTAATTTGATAGTAAAAAGTTATTTTATACTAAAAAAAATAAAGATATTAAGAATTTATTGGCCAGGTGCAGTGGCTTACGCCTGTAATCTCAGCACTTTGGGAGGCTGAGGTGGGAGGATCACGAGGTCAAGAGATCGAGACTATCCTGGACAACATGGTGAAACCCCGTCTCTACTAAAAATACAAAACTTACCTGGATAAGTTCCAGGCACTCAGAAGGCTGAGGCAGGAGAATTGCTTGAACCCAGGAGGCAGAGGTTGCAGTGAGTGGAGATCAATTTATTTATTAATTGATAAACAAGAATTTATCAATTGCTATGCTTAAAACTTAGAGAAAAAGTTTAATTTTTGCATTTTATACTTTTTTTTTTGAGACAGAGCTTCACTCTTGTTGCTTAGGCTAGAAAGCAATGGTGCAGTCTTGGCTCACTGCAACCTCCACCCGCTGGGTTCAAGCGATTCTACTGCCTCTGCCTCCTGAGTAGCTGGGATTACAGGTGCCTGCCACCACGCCCAGCTAATTTTTGTATTTTTGGTAGAGATGGGGTTTTGCCATGTTGGCCAGGCTGGTCTCAAACTCCTGACCTCAGGTGATCTGCCTGCCTTCGCCTCCCAAAGTAAGTGATCTGCCTGTCTCAGTCAAACAGGCATGAGCCAAGATGCCTGGCCTCAGCAGAAATATTCTAAATTTTACTTATCATGTACTTATGTATATTGTTACTTCCAAAGGTAAGACAGGACACTTATATTATTTTGCTATAAAATACAGTCATAACATAAAACATAGTAAACACCTCTCAAGTTATAAAAAAAGATATTTTAATTGTTCTGTGTTTACTCAAATGCTAACAGACCCATCATTTGCTAATGAGATATCAACTTACAGGGACACTGACTTAAAGGAATTTAATATTACCTTTAAAGATTGTCTCTTAGTCACATAATTCTCAGACTGAAGCAATTTCTCATAGTCTTCAAAAATCTAATGAAAAGAAAAATACATTAGAGTGTAAAAGCAGCAGTGCATTCTCTGTATGAGGCTTGCTTGCTCTCTTATTCAGGAGCAAGTTCCCACCTAGCCATTTTGCCATCCTCCTTTAAGGTGAAGACACAGGGACAGGGAGTTCAAGAGTTACAAAAGACATCCTCCCCTATTTTGTTTTAGTTCTGCAAATTAGAAATTGAGTAGAAAAACTGAGTAATTCTGAGTTCTTCCAATAAATCACTTTGAATAAAACTAGTAAAAGTTGCAAGATAACTCATTTTGTGCCATTTTAAAGAAATCTTTATGGAGGTAGCCTTGTTGGTGGCTATGGGTCCGCAATCTGGGAAAATATTAAATACATTTAAGGCTTCACTTGGCAAGCCATAAAGAGTCAGACTGTCCAATTCACTGCATGAACAGATGAAGAACGAGGCAACCTTTGCTGCATGACAGCCACATTAAGCCCAACTGGTTCCTCTGGAGCACATCACTCTCATTGGAAGCTGGGGACACTGGTGCATGGAGTCCTGTTTCCTAACGTGGTCACCAACCATGGCCTAGGCCTTTCAGTTTAACATAGAGTGCTGGCCTCTGGGGAGGCTCAGCATTCGCTGCCACCATGTGTGGGTACACAGCTCAGAGAGCAATGAAGTGGAAGGAACAACCGCAGCCAGGATGGAGGGTAAGAGATCAGGAACTGAATGAAGAGGGTGACAAACTCCCAGCCCTCGGAGAGTCAACAGCGAGGGGAGTGTGTGTGCAGCTGTGTAATGAGTGCAAGCTGTGCCCATTGACAATCGCCAACAGAGAATTAATGAAGTGAAAAGTAAAAATATAAAGGTGTAGCTCACATTAAAATCACAGTAATTATGCTCTTTTATATGAATGACTTATTTATTTTATCCTGAAACACAAGGAAAATTTTGTGGATCATTAAATGCATCAGACAAGCCTTGTGATAAATTTGAATAGTAACAATAAAATGTAAATACGTGTATATAGTACGATCTGTCCTCAGTCTACCAGGTTTATTACTTTAGAGTCATGCATCATGTGCTCCAGTTTCATGGTGTACTGCTGAAGAAATAAAAACTAGGCCTTTGGGAGGCTGAGGCGGGCAGATCACAAGGTCAGGAGTTCAAGACCAGCTTGGCCAACATGGTGAAACTCCGTCTCTACTAAAAATACAAAAGTTAGCCCGGTGTGGTGGTGGATGTGTATAGTCCCAGCTACTTGGGAGGCCGAGGCAGGAGAATCACTTGAACCCTTGAAGGAGAAGTTGCAGTGAGCCGAGATCGCACCACTGCACTCCAGCCTGGGCAACAGAGCGAGACTGTCACAAAGAAAAAGAAAAGAAAAGAAAGGACAGAAAGGAAAGAAAGGAAAAGAGTTTGAAGAGGCACAAGTTTTCAGGGCTCATATTCAGGCCAGTGCAGGAGCCTCAGCAACTGTGAAATTGCTAAATTACACAAGAAGTGACATATGGATATAAAAACAAAATTAGGTAAATAAGGAGTCAAAAAGAATGAATTTCTTAGTCTCTCAAACTGTTGTGCATTATCCCTGAATGCATAGCGTTATTGCACAACACATTTACCTCATTCATTCTATAGGAGAGATTAGTAATTAGTTGATACTGTAGATTTTTCCATGTTATCTTAGCCTTTTAAAATTTTCATTTCTTATAAATGTGATATCTAATGCATCTTTCCTTAACATTCCATCTAGCACATACAGTTACTGAACAATCAAGCTATATATTAACAGTTTGTTTCCTAAATTCAAAAATATACAATTTCCTTTCAGTCTTTATGTTTTGGGATTCCTCTGGCAATAAAAATTATTCTCCTTGCAGTAGAATGAGGTTATCAGAGGCCGAGGAAGGTAGGAGGGAGGGGACAAGAAGAGAGGTGGGTTAACAGATATAAAAATACAGTTAGAAGAAATAAGTTTTAGCATTCAACAGCACAGTAGGGTGACTATAGTTAATAATTTACTGTATATTTCAAAATAGCTAGAAGAGAAGATTTGGGAAGTTACCAACACAAAGAAAGGATAACTATTTGAGGCAATGGGCATCCTGATCACCTGATGTTATCATTACAAATTGTATGCATATATCAACATATCCAGTGTACTCCATAAACACGTATAATTATTATGTATCAATTTAAAAAATCATTCTTCCCTCACATTTTACACTTAAATACTCTAGTTGATTCTATGGATTTTAAAAAAAATAACCTGAGGACATAAAAATCACTTTTGATTTTATCATATTGCTAATACTTAAATTGAAGGACAACTGAAAAAATAAAATTTATTTTATTTATAATTAAAAGAGAAATAGTTAAATTTTTGTGATTTGGACTGTGAAGATATACTACTGATAGTTAGAGTAGGCCACACCTTCCCAGCATTTGGGAGTATGTTGCAAGTTTGTCTAGGGTATACATGGTTCAGAGACTCCTTGAGGATTATTATTAATACTTGTTGGCTATCACTGGTCCATATGCCTAATATTAGTTGAGAAGGCATAAAGTCACAGTTATCATCAAAAATGTATTTCTCTTTGTAAGCACATATAATTTAATTCAATACTAAAGATTTCAATCAATAAAGATACTTCATCTTAATTTACTTACTACCATAAATATCATATACACATGAAATTGTTTTTTACTTTTAATAGAGGAAGACAAAAAATCCACTCATCATACCATATATACATATATACACACAAACCTTTAGAACTTCTTGGTTTGGGCATCAATAATCAATCATATAAACAGTTAAATGCTCCTTTAAGACAGCAGATAACATTGCTGCTGTTATGTGTCAGGCACTAGACTGGGTGATGGGGATAGAGTAGCAACATTAACTAACACATGTAAAAATGCCAAAAATCCCAGCAAAAAATAACTCTGGCTGTTGCTAGCATGAGGATCAGAGAGTTCCCCTTCCCTAAGTCTTAGTTTAGATGCATGCTCTCCAACATAGGGCCATATGTGGCTGCTGAGCACTTGAAATGCGGCTAGTCCAATCTAAGTGTCAAATACACATCAGATCTCAAAGACTCAGTATAAAAAAAGGATGTAAAATAGCTCGACCATTTTTCACTTCATCTTAGCCAAAAGACCGAGAGGCGATTATCATTTTCCATATTGATTATACATTAAAATAACATTTTTGATATATTGGGTTAAATAAATACATATTATTCAAATTAATTTTACCTGTTTCTTTTTACCTTTTTGTGTGGCTAACTAGAAAATTTTAAGTTACACAGTGGCTCTCATTTCTGGCTTACACTGTATTTCTACTGCACAGCACTGAGCTAGAGTATCTGAACCAACACTAGAACAAAACCTGTGAAGTTCTGCTTCTAGGTTTGTGCTATATTATACTTTAATCATGCTGTTTCTATTGCTTATACATTTAGTCAAAGCGTAGTTAGTTGCTCTTCGATGGAACCGTCACCACCAAATGTATGACACTGAATTAGGTATTAGGAAAACAAGTAATAATGATAAACACTAATACCGAGTACTTACTGTGGTACTGTGCTAAAAATTTTAAAACTTGGCAAATTCCCTCCACAACACTATGATGCAGGTATTATTGCTATCTTCATTTTGCAGTAGGTGTAGTAACTTGCCCAGGGCCGCACAGTTAGTAAGGAGGCAGGTCTTGAAGGCAAGCAAGCATGCAGACTCTAAAGTCCACACTGTGCTCTAAACCCTGTGTCCAGCACATAAGATTCCTGCCTCTTAGGGCCAGCCAGAAAGATACAGACACACCGTAATAATACAACGTAAAAAATAAGAAGGAGCCAGAGAGAGAGAGGAAAGACAGAAGGGGAGAGGAGGGAGAGGGAGAGGGAGAGAGGAGAGAGGGAGAGAGGGAGAAAAGGGGGGCGAGAGAGAGGGAGATAGGGGAAGAGAGAGAGAGAGAGAGAGACACACACACACACACACACACACACACACACACACACACACACGTGGTGGGGGGAGGGGTAAGCGGAGTGGGGTGGGGAGGGGTAAATGGGGTGGGGGGTGCAGTGGAGGTAGGATGCATGTTTTGGGAGGGGAGGGATTAGGGAAAGCTTCCTAAAGAGTGACATTTCAACCGAATCTCAAAAGGGTGAGTTGGATTCACTGTTTAAAGCTTCCTAAAGAGTGACATTTCAACCGAATCTCAAAAGGGTGAGTTGGATTCACTGTTTATTGTCAGGGAAGAGAGTTGTAAGATAAAAATATTTTTCGTGTTTTTTGCTACTAAGTAAGAGTAATTATCAACCAAGTAGACAGGAAAGGTGGGATTCTCTTCCTCTGGAGTTACCTACTGCCTCCTAAGAGCAACATCAAAGCAGGCAGGTGCCAGTCATTTCTTGGAGCTTCAGAGCACTACAGCAAGAGATGTGAAAAAGGCGAAGCTCTGACTTCCCACCATCCTCAATTTTCCGTAAAATTTCCTGATGACCTGGTTTCTAGGTAAACAGACAAACCAGGAGTATGGCTGAATACGACTGATTTCTCTTGTGGATAATTCATAGGGGCAAGTGCTCATAGATCTAAGAAGGAGGGAAAGAGAAAGCAGTAAAGTCTTTAAAAATGATTTCTACTTACCGTGTCATAATTTTGTTCTAAGAAGTCTGCTACCAACACTTTATGTCTGGTTAGTAAATCCTAGGAAAAGAAAAACCAAGTGAAACAAAATTGTTATAGCTATTAATATTATAAATGTCTCTTTTCTAAGGTTTAAGAACATATAGAAGTTGCAGAAGAACATTTTCATTTACACCACAAAATTATTTCCATTCCTACCTTAGCTTAAGATGTGAAACACAAGTTTGTTTCATGTTAGAAAAGAAAACCCTAGTGTTAAACCTAGTATTTCAAATCCATATTGTTAGATTTATGATAGAATTTATTTAACTGGTGAAACAAATGGAACTAGAGATTAGTTCATATTTCTTTAAGCCATGAACTCTACATTGTGATTATATCATAAATATTCAAGTAAAGTATATGATGATTGTTTTCAAATGTCGTTAATAACTAATCTTTTTAAAAAAATGAACTCTGAATGGCCTAAAACAATATCTCACAAGATAACACGTTTTTAAAGAATTTAAACCTTTTTTTTTTTTTTCTTAACCACTTTAAAAATGAAGGCACTTCAGATACTGGAAGCATAGGACTGCCATTTAGCAGTGTCAAACCAGTATTGTCCCTGCCCTTGGGTTAATGAGGTGTGAGGTGTTGTGCAAGTTACCAAGTAGCACAATGCATCCTTTCAAAGTTGAAGATGAGTAGCTCTACCTTATGGCAGACATAAACTTGCAGAAAACTGAACAAAAGCATGAAAAAACATTTGTCTTCAACTCACACCTAAATTATATCCTTAATTCACCTTAACGTTGCAGGAAAATAAGCATCACTTAATCCCTTTGATATGCTTAGAGGCTAAATACCCTGTCTAGGTGCCATAAAAAATTTAATTAAAAACATAATAAGAATTTTAAAGTTTTCCAAAATAAATTCTTATTCTTTAATACATATTTAATTAAAATTTCTGAAAAGTATATAAAAGATACAGAACCCCTCACAAAGAAAAGGCAGATAGCAACAGATACCCACTCATTTCTACTTTAATTTTTAGAAAAGTAAAATATTTAAAGCATTGTGTGCTATAATTTTCAAGCGCAAAAACAATTAAGAGTGGCTCTTAGTTCCCTATTGCTTGTTATCACACAACTGGATCAACTACTGGGCCTATCAGTGGAAACGTGGTAGTGTCTTGTTTTGAGTTGGAGCAGAGCACTCAGTACTGTTCTGGAACTGGAGTTCTAAAATAGGAAAACCATTTACAGGGGTTCCATTCCTGGCCTGTAGGAGTAAAAGAGTAAGGTAGTTCCACAGGGTCCTTTGAGGTCCTTACTCTTTTTTTTAAAAGGATAATATTGGTGTCATGTATTCAAGCACCCCTCCCCTAACGTCATAGAAACCCACGAGCTGTAATAGGAATTTTCTGAGCTGTAGGCAGAGCTCTTTCTATGGGCTGCAGCAGACACTGTGGATCGTGGGAGTTCTTCACCTGCTACAACTATCATCAGCCTTGAAAGTGAGGTCTGGGTTTCCTACACTGCAGGCCCGGTGCACACAGCCCCAGTGGCAAAAGAGCAGTTTGCAGACCAGTGCTGCTTAGAAAGGTTGCATCATACATTAGTGTAATCCCAATGAAAAAGGGATCAAGAGGGAGTTAAGTTAAAACCAACACTTTCAAATTCCAAGGGCAAAAAAACCTTGAAAGAGCTTAAAAATCCAGTATTAGAAAACCATAATAGGGCGGGGCTCCTGCAGCATACATATATATCATGGATACAGCCAAAAACAATGCACATGTTCCCTTTCTCACGCCCCCCATTTCCACTTGAGTGTGTAATAGGATTGATACATGGATATACCCTCAAATTGATCTACATAATAAGTGTATGTACAAACCATATATACATATACACAGGCTTATGTACACCTAATACATAGGTAAATATAATCGCTGCATTATAGATCACGTGAGTAAAACACACACACACACACACACACACACACACACACACACACCCAGCTAAGATCCTACCCAAGAAGGAAAAGACAGAAAATTGTGAAGAAAATTAAAGTTCAAACGCTAAAGAATTTAGAATTTAAAAACCTTATTTCAAATAGTGTACTCTTTCATCCTACCTCCTAAACATTCTGTTTTTAAGGCCTAAGTTTTGCATGGTATAACTATAATGCCAAAAATCGGATAGCGATATTTTTAGTGAATTCTGCTTGGAGAAACTTGGGTGAGGGCAGGGACATAAAAGGCTGAGGAACCAGCCACAGTTGCTGTTGAGAGGGCTGACTATGTGCTGGGGAGTGTGCTGAGCACTTTACAAATGTGGTTTCTCATCTTCACAAGTCCGTGATTCTTCATTTCACAGATGTGAAAAATTAAAACCCAAAGGTTAACTAAATTGCTCAAGGCTATCCAGCTTATCAGGTGGCAGAGAAAGACGGAATTCAAATCACTCCTATTATGGGACTTTTTAGAGGGAGGGATGAAAGAGATCATGGTTGTAAGGAATCACTTTTTGAGAAAGGACTATTGGTAGACAAATCTATGCCGAAAACATAAATAATGTTACAATATTAATAACTAAACAGGGCAATAGTCCCTTTAATAGCTCAAAACCAAAACGACTAGAGTAGGAGGTTATAAAAACCCAAAGCCAATGCCCAAATCAAGTCAATCAACCGACCAAACAAAACCCTTTGAAACCAGCTAATTGGCCAGGTGTGGTGGCTCAGCCTGTAATCCCAGCACTTTGGGAGGCTGAGGCAGGTGGATCACAAGGTCAGGAGTTTGAGACCACTCTGGCCAACATAGTGAAACTCAGTCTCTACTAAAAATACAAAAAATTAGCCAGGTGTGGTAGTGTGCGCCTGTAATCCCAGCTACTTGGGAGGCTGAGGCAGGAGAAATTTGTGAACCCAGTAGGCGGAGGTTGCAGTGAGTGGAGATCATGCCATTGCACTCCAGCCCTGGCGACAGCACGAGACTCTGCCTCAAAAAAGAAAGAAAGGAAAGAAAGAAAGAAACCAACTACTTAAAAAAAAAGTGATTTATGGTCGTTGTTACATTATATTAACCATACACATTTGGTAAAATATAGAAAATTGGTGTTTCCAATACCGGCAGCATACTAGAAAACTTTTTATGATTATTTAGATTTTAAAGGATTGACTTAAACTCAATGGAAAATTGGCTTAAATACAAATTAAAACATCATCATTTATTTTTGTGATTCAATATTGTTTCTGAAAATTAAATTGGGCTTAATATATGACAGCAAGAAATTACTATCAAGTACATTTTATTGTATTAAATGTTTAAAAACCTTTGGGGAAATTTTCAGAAATACATTTTCATTAAGTATTTGCTTTTTCCCTCCATTAGTGTTTGTTCTATGTTTGTAATTATGTGAAGTATTACTTGGTTTTTTTAAAAATGCATTTACTTGTTTCCATGACAGTGAAGAGCCATCTGATAGGAAAGAAAAAAAAATGGGACTATAATGTCTATTATTAGCAAACACCTCCTTAGCAGTTTAGACACAGACATTTTGGTAGAAAGAAATGGAATCATCCTTTGTATTTAATGTCATTCTTCATGGTTGATGTAACCAAGGCCTATCTCACCACATGCTCTATATCCACCTTTTTGGGGGCTCATCTCTAGCCGCTGTACAATTTTTGTCTTCTGGGGTGAGACATGGCTGCTCCTGGCATTTCCAGCACTCTGAGCCCAGAGCCATGCTGTTGCCCTCACCGGCCCTCCCTCCACCCAGCAGTCATTTCTTGGAGTCTGTTCCCAAGCCTTCCCTCCCTCCTTTCCTTCCTTCCTTCCCTCACTCAGCTATTCTCCTGAGATTTTGCTTTCCTTACCCCAAGCCTCCTACTCTTTATACTTCATCTCTCCTTAACTCTCCTTCTTCCCTTCTCCAGCAGGCTGAATTGAGGCCTGTGGACACCTGAGCAGGCTGCGAACACTATCCTTTCAAACCCAGATGCTAGAGGCCTTGTGTTTGTTGCAGGTTTCCCTGAGACTTTGGGGAAATGATGGCATTTCCTCTGTTGTCTCAGGCAATTCAGTGCTGGCCCAAAACCCAACACCCTCCTGCTATTACAACAAAAATGCCACAGTGGCCGGGTCCAGTGGCTCACACCGGTAATCTCGGGCACTTTGGGAAGGGCCAAGGCAAGTGGATCACTTGAGGTCAGGAGTTCAAGACCAACCTGGCCAACATGGTAAAACCCTATCTCTACTAAAAATATAAAAATTAGCTGGGCGTAGTGGTATGTGCCCGTGGTCTCAGCTACCTGGGAAGCTGAGGTGCGAGGATCACCTGAGCCTGAGAGGTCAAGGCTGCAATGAGCTGAGATTGCACCACTGGACTCAAGCCTAAGTGATGAAGTGAGACTTTGTCTCAAAAACTGCTGCAGTTAACTGGGCTCACCGTGCTCCTTTGGCAGCTGTGAACAACCAGCTGCTGTTGCTTAAGCCTGCCCTGGAATCTACCCCCCAGCCCACCCCAAGTGGCTTCCAAATATTCCCATCATTCTCAAACAGTATTCTGCCTGCAGAATTTTTGTCAATTCGATTTTCCTTAGCTCGTTGTATTTCCAGAGATGGCCTGGTTGCTTTTATAGATCATGTCCCAGGCAGCTGCCAGGACTTGCCTCTCCTTTAACCACTCACCACTGTTTGATCTTCTTCATCACAGCAAATCCCTCTGATGGCTGAGACTGCAGGCTCCACCTCCGCAGAGACCATGCCCTGTCCCTCACCCTCCGCCAGGAGCCAGGCGTTCTTCTCCCTAAGTCCCAGCTTCCTTCGACTCCACTGACATCTCCCACCCTTTACCGACTCTGACACTCTCTCACACTCTCTGTGACCATGTGAGCTAATACACCTTTCAACAAAGTTATGGCACCTTCTCAGAACAGGCTGGGTAACTTCCTAGTCTGCGGATAATAGGTAGTTTGCAGTACAGCAAACTACTGCTTTCCCCTTTTCCCACCACTGGAGAGCTATTTAAAAAGAACTATTTAGTATCTAAGTGATAGGCAACTTTCAAACACTGTTCATAAAGTAATAAGATTGGAGTATGTATTAATACTAGTATATGAACTCTATCAATATTATTGAAATATGTATGTAAGATAAAATATAAAAATAATAATTCATATATAGATTACAAATTAAGTAAAACTTGTAAAAAAAGTTATATATGTATATCCTGAAAAAAGTATAAATTAATTTGGAATTATGTAAATAGAACATTTAAATTGTTAAAATTCTTTTAAAGAAATGAATCTGAATATGTGTGTGTGTGTTTATGTATATATATATATGTGTATATATATATGTGTATATATATATATATATATACATATACATACTTAAATGAGTCTTATCTACTTTTTCAACCTGAAAGCCTATTTTTTTCAATGCTGCTATTACATTGTCAGCTTATAATATTTTTGGAATTCCTCTTCTAAAATGGCCTTCAGAGCTGATTTGGTAGACACTGAAGAAAATCGTGTCTATTTTATTTATATCTTAAAATTTATTTTTATGATAACCATTATCCCCTTATCCCCCTAAATAATTCTAGCTAACCTGATCACCCACCTTACACACTAACCGAAATGTCAAATAGGTTTTTGTTTCCAAAATTTTTATCTGCCCTTGAAAGATAAAAGTTTGCCATTATTGAAAAATGAACATGTCATACACATTGATACCAACTTCAAAATATGTTAAATAATAGCAGGATCATAAGTCTAAGTAAATGGTTTTCTAAAATAGAAATCTTAAATGTATCATCACTCATCTGATGGATAAGTTTTGGTATGTTTGTCTGCAAAGTAGCTGCACTCTTTTCTGATATATTCTCTGAACATCTTTTTGATGATAAAACACAGAAACCAAAAGTAAAATGGTTGTCAGGGTCTGGAGGGAGGAGGAAATGGGGAGTTATTGTTTAATAAGTATAGAGGTAGAGGGCTGGGCACTGTGGCTCATGCCTGTAATCCCAGCTCTTAGGGAGGCAGAGGTGGGAGGTTAGCTTGAGCCAAGGAGTTCAAGACCTGGCTGAGCAATATAGTGAGACCGCATTCTCCACAAAAAGGAAAAAAAACCCCAAAAAACAAAATAAGTATAGAGGTAGAGTTTGAATTTTTCAAAGTAAAAAAGTTCTGGTAGTCAGTTACCTAACAATGTGAATATACTTCATCCTACAAGTTCCTACATAGTGACAAAGTAGATAACACATGATCAAACTGTAGATGATTATGAAAAACTACAATATACTTTATTACTATTTTGTTTTACCATGTGGACATTTAAAAATTACATTCATAAAATAACACGATGTCCTTCACATTCAAAGATGAAATTCTCCATCTCCCTTCACTACCTAGTTCCTTTCCCCAGAAGTAATCACTGTTGCTGTTTTCTATGCATTCTTGCAGAGGTATTCAGTGTACATGTATCTTAAGTGGAAGCTTATGCCCTTTAACCTGTTTTTAACATAAATGACAGCATACCACACACAGAGCACTACATATGCCTTTTGTTACTTAACTGTATATACTGGAATTCATTCCATTTGAGCCTGTGACAGATATTTTGAGTTGCTTTTCTGCAATAGGACAGACTGGCCTCATAGACTGCATTCTATTTACAGATGCCTCTTATGAGCCACATCATACATGGTTGTCTACTCTGAGGTCTAAGAAATAAAATTTCTTGCTTTTTAAAATTAAATTGCCCCTTCAGTGGCCAAGTGACTATAAATGACCTAGCTGATTTAGAAAAAAAAAATTACCTTAAAAGTAGCAAAGGCATCTGAAGCAATATCAAATGTTGACAACTCCACATACTTAAAGAAATCTCTGAATTGATTAGAAAAGAGGATGATTTTGGCAAGCGGTTCATGTCGAATACATTCTCTCAGCATAATCCCACAACGTAATGCAATCTGTGGGGCTTCGTATCTAAAGTGTAAACAAGACAGAAATAGAGAACTCTGTTATACTATTAAAATAATATTAATGGCATCAAAAGAACCATTTCAATACTGCTGTTAATGGAAACACACATACTATTTGTCACAGTTCATTCAAATACCACTCATTCAATACCCACCGAAGCTCTACTATGGGCCTGGCACTATTCCAGATGCTGGGGAGACAACAGTAAACATGAGGTCACTGCTGTCAGCATGTTCATATCTGAGTGTATCCGGTGGGGGGACAAGGCAGAATGTAAACAATGAAAAGATAATTTCATATACTGAGAAGTGCTGTGAAAACTGATGACAATAAAATACGCCACATTATAAAGGTGACTACTTAATTTTGTGGGTGTGTGCATGTGAGTGACTACTTAAGTTACTTTACTTTAGACTAATGGAAAGGACAAAATGTTCCAGGCAAAGGAAAGTAACTGTGCAAAGTCTCCATGGCAAGAACAGGCTTGGGGAAATGGAGGAGAAATAAGCCTGTGTGATTCGATTGTAGGGAAGAACCATGAGTGGTATAAAACTGGAGAGAAGGCAGGGGCCAGATCAGATACAGTTTTGTCAGCCAAGGTAAGCAGTGGGGTTTTTATTTTAAGTGTAATGGGAGCCTTTGGAGAGTTTAAAGCAAGAAATTGACAAAGCTAACTCATGGTTTAAAAAGATCACTCTGGCTTCTTGTTGAGATTGTATGTAAAACATCAGAAGGCAAGATAGGAACAGCAGCAAAAGCCCAGGAGAGGGAACTGGGGCTTGGCCTGGGGTGGCAGGAGCGGAACAGAGGACTGTGGGCAGGTGGTGGATACTGCTCGGAGGAAGAGTCACCAGGACTTGCTGATAATGTAGCTGGAGTGAGGGAATAAATTTGGAAACTGAGAATTCAAGAATGATTCCTATGTTTTTGGCTCAAATCATTGGGTGGATGGTGGTGCTACTTATTAAGAGGAATAAACTAGCAGAGGAACAAGTTAAGTGAAGAAACTAAGAGTTTGTGGTTGACCACGTTAGTTTTGAGATGGCTGATACCTAAGTAAAAATCTCTCCTTGGCAGGAGTATACACCATTTGGAGTTTAGGAAAAAGATAGGGGAGAACTATATAAATATACAATTTTCATGCAATAGGTGACTAATACATAGCTGTGGATTAAGCCACTTAAATCCTAAGTGAAATCATGGCTCACAGCAAAAACTACACTAGACAAATAAAACATCTACTGGGAAAACAATTTAGGACTGGCATACTAGATCGGTTCCATTTCTAATATAACAATAATCTCTCAAAGTCAAATTCAGTATCTAAATAAACCTAAGTCTAAGATACATTCCAGACTGGGTGTGGTGGCTCACGCCTGTAATACCAGCACTTTGGGAGGCTGAGGCAGGTGGATCACGAGGTCAAGAGATCAAGACCATCCTGGCCACCATGGTGAAACCCTGTCTTTATTAAAATTCCAAAAATTAGCTGGGTGTGGTGGTGTGTGCCTGTAGTCTCAGCTACTTGGGAGGCTGAGTCAGGAGAATCACTTGGACAGGGGAGGTAGAGGATGCGGTGAGCCAAGATCGCGCCACTGCACTACAGCCTGGCAACAGAGCAAGATTCTGTCTCAAAAAAAAAAAAAAAAGGACACATTCCAGTATGTGATAAGATTTTAAGACAATGAATAATGCTTAGCCCAAGTATAATAAGCCCTGTATTGAAATAATGTAGTTGAAAATTGTGTGCTAAATATGTGAAGAATAGAACAAAGAAAGATATAGTTGTGAAACACTAGGAAGTGGGCAGAATATAGGGGGAAAAAAAATCTGGAGGGGCATGCCTGCTCACTTCTGTAATCCCAGCACTTTGGGAGGCTAAGGTGGATGGACTACTTGAGCCCAGGAGTTTGAGACTAGCCTGGGCAACATAGTGAGACCCTGACTTTACAAAAAATAAAAAAAATTATCTGGGCATGGTGGCACACGCCTGTAGTCCCAGTTACTCAGGAGGCTGAGGTAGGAGGATTGCTTGAGCCTGGGAGGTTAAGCGAGACCCTGTCTCCAAAAATAAAAAGTAAAAATAAAATAAAATCTGATCAAATTTTTAAAGAAATATCGACCATTTCAACTAAATACTAGTTTTTATGATACTTGTATGATATTATAAACCTTTAAGATATTTTATTACTCATCAATTACTAGCAACAACATTTTTTGAACAATAAATAATGTACTATTCTTTATAAGATTATGGAATTTTCATGAAAGACAGATTCAAGAATAAAGATTCAGTTCAAGAAACAGACTACTCTGCAATATCAAATTTACAAATATTAGTAGAGGAATCAGCAAACAAAGATACCAGGGTAGTATTTATTCATTTCTGTCCTGTTTATGCTGAATGATATTCACAAATATTATTTGAGTATTCCTTGAATAACTTAGAGTAACATTAAATGCCAATATATTCAGACAGTTATGATTCTTTGTAGAATATAAGGAATGACAATTTAGAGTGCTAGCAATTTCTCTTATTAGAAACTTGAAAATCAGCCTCCTGGTTCACAAGGAACAAATCAGGTGGGGTCTTATTAAAGATGTTGTAAAGAAGGGCATATGTTCTGAAATGTGAAGGAGAAAAACACTGTTATTTATTGATGTAGTACTCAAGAGAGTATAAAATAAAGGCTATTGGCCTACAGAAAGAATCTAAAGGAAGGACAATTAAAATCCAGACTTATTGATTAGTATGATATGCGTGGAGTTTTATAATTTGGCCCTAACCTTAACTTTTCAGTTTCATCTCCCAACACATTGGCCATTTCCCAGGAGCACCTCATTCCTTCAATTGGAATGCCTTTCTCCTTACATTCCTACCACTGAGATGTTTCTTATCTTCCAAGGCTTAGTTCAAATGCCACCTCCTCCTTGAAGACTTTCCTAATCACTACAGTTCAGAATTATTCTCTCTTTCCTTCACATTCACACAACAGCTTGTCTGTAATTTCACCTTAACACTTTTTAAATTCTGTATTATGCTATAATGCAATAAATTGCTACAAGTCTATTTTCTTGACTTCATTACAATCAATTTAATTGTTGGGGATATGCTTTTCTCCTCCCCTATCCCCATCTCCATTTAGTGTCTTTGTCTTATTTATTGCTACTTTCTTCTGTTCCTACCCCTGTCTCCAAAGAGTGCCTAGCATAATGTTTTTCACAAAGCATGCATATAAAGAATGTAATAAACCTCAAACTGAAGAAATGTCATAATACTAGAGTACTCTAATGAGAGTCAAACTCTAACTTATACAAAATATGCATCATCTCTGGCCAACATTTTCTCATTTCTTAATTCAATTTCCAAACTAAGACCATCTATAAAAAGTTTCCACTCCAACTTTTGGGTATAATTAGTTCTCTTTTTCCTTTCATTTTGTGAGGCTTATTGAAACCATCTGTGATGCACTGACAGTTTATTCTTAAGAAATAAAAGAATGTTTTCTAAAAACCAAGACTCCCCTGGGTCAGTACCCTTGTCATTGCATCCCAGCAGTTTGACATCTGTCATTCTGAGATTACAATTTCTATAAGTTAGAAATATACAGGAATATACAGAGATATATGGAGAATCCTAATTATACTCAGTACTCTTTAAGGGGTTTATAATTCACATAGACCATTTCCACCCGGCTACCTTCTAGGCTATTGACTTTTGATAGGTTATTGCTTACTATATAAAGAAGTGTTCCATAAATTAAGCTTATGTTAAGTTTCAAATCCCACTACTATTAATATCCTTAGATCTGGTAAAGAATCAATATTTGTCTCACCTAATTTATTATACTCATAGATAAGCTTCCTGTTGGCAAAGATCATGCCTAATTACTGTTTCTCACAATGGCTAACCCATGGCAGGTCCCCAATAAAGGTGAATCTGATGAGTGTTGAATCACTATTTTATAGAATTGAATCATATCTTCCCTCTTAATTTGTAGTTTGGATCATATGGTCTGGACTGCAATGAACTGTGTCAGTATGGAGAAGGCACACCACTATTATAGGCCTGCCCATTGAATAATGAGAGTATAATGAAAGTTCTCTCTCAAATTTAATGAAAGCCAAAATGTAGGAGCAATTGTCTCAGCTAGCAGTAGCTACAGTAATCATTACACAGACAATGGTTAGAAGAATGATCTTGGGCAAGAATATTTCAATTTAAGAACAAAGATTACATTATGTAAGGGGGAAAATGACTTTTGTGATTATTGCTGGAAGTAAACAATGCCAAGCAATACTTGGAAAACTTTTGTAAAATGCCATTCAACAAACACTTGGTTGCCTCAATATAGTCAAGAAGGTATGTTTCTAATCTAGAAACATTTGCTGACTAAAAATGAGTTAGGCCAGGCATAGTGGCTCATAATCCCAGCACTTTGGGAGGCCAAGGCAGGAGGATCACTTGAGCCTAGGAGTTTGAGACCAGCCTGGACAACATAGTTGGACCCTGTCTCTACAAAAAAAATTTTTTTAATTAGCTGAGTGTAATATCATGCACTTGTAGTCCCAGCTACTTGGAAGGCTGAATCAAGAGGATCACTTGAGCCTAGGAGGTTGAGACTGTAGTGAGCTGTGATCACAGCACTACATTCTAGTATGGGCAACAGAGCAGGATCCTGTCTCAATAAATAAATAAAATAATGAGTTAATTCTGTCCACCAAAAAGGCCTAGAAGCAACAACAATCCAATGTCAAGGAGCACCCCTAGCATCCAGATTGTAGTCTCTAAGAACCATTCCTCTCTAAAAAGAACCAACATCCTTCGTAGAAATGTCAGGTCTTTGTTAGCAAGTGTACCAGTTGGGTGGCATATCTTGTTACACCAGAAAGCAAGGAAGCTCTCACAAACTATTTTAGTGATGTTAAGAGATATCACCCAGAAGGGGCCACAGATGGTCAGTTGAGCATTTTAAAAAAATGTATAGAACTAAATAAGACATATAGAAAACATTAAATCCATTAGTTTCTCAGATACTAGAAGAGTGTGTGTGTGTGTGTGTGTCTGTATACAAATGTAAACATATATATTTACACACACACATATGTAAAGGGGAGGAGGGAGGAAAATAACTCATTAGATACCATTGAAAGTTCCTAGGATATTTTATTTTTCTCTAAAATGATAATTAAAAGAATTAAGCATTTCTTCTGCCTCTGTGGTATGATTTGTACTTCAGAGTATTCTAACACCTGAAGCTGTGGTGAGTGAATGACAGTATGCTCTATAAAACTACTCCAGCCAATAAAAAATACGAAAGGAATGACAGAATTCAAAATCACCTTTTTGTCATCTCTAGTGAAATGACTGAATCAGGCAATGTTCATCAATGGATGGTAAAACAATTAAGTTTAAGGTCGATGGGAAACTCTATAGTGGATCAGACTGTCACCATCTGAACCCATTGCTCAGTCTTAGCATTACTAAAAGTACATCTCCTGATGTGATAGAATATGAACTACATAGTACTATCTATAAAATAATTGCCAAAATGAAACTGCTTAAACTTTTTTGCAATAAATTTTTAAAAACAGGGTAATTGGGAGAAATTGATGATTTTAACATCAGCTTTCTGGAACATAGTCCACTGGCCACAGTTCTTTATGGATCACTAAGAGCAGTTCAGTGACCTCATTCTCAAGTTCTCTCAGTACCCTGGAATGTCATTTGCCCAAGCCAGAAGACAAATTCATTTAGAGTGAGTAAGTCCTTATTTATAATCTTTTCAGAACATTTGGGCTCCAGATCCTTTCTACCATGTTTAACACCACATATCCAGATAATTCTCTTTGATAGACAAGTATCAATTGCTTTTTGTCTTATATTCTTTATGGTTAGACTTAGGTTCTATATAGAATGTTACTATCATACTCTTGTATAATATTATTGTTTGATGTATAAATGTACCAGTCAAGTTATGTCCTAGGTTTTCAAGGGACTTCACAAGAGATAATTCAGTACAAATCCTGACTTTTAAGAAGAGCAAAATCTCTAACCTTCTAATGATAAATTAGAAAATGGTAACAGGGGGCCGGGTGTGGTGGCTCAAGCCTGTAATCCCAGCACTTTGGGCAGATCACGAGGTCAGGAGATTGAGACTATCCTTGCTAACACAATGAAACACCATGTCTACTAAAAATACAAAAAATTAAATGGGCGTGGCAGCACGTGGCTGTAGTCCTAGCTACTTGGGAGGTTGAGGCAGGAGAATTGCTTGAACCCAGGAGGTGGAGGTTGCAGTGAGCTGAGATTAGGCCACTGTACTCCAGCCTGTGTAACAGAGCAAGATTCCATCTCAAAAAAAAAAAAAAAAAAAAAAGAAAGAAAGAAAAAGAAAAAGAAAATGGTAGCAGGTCAAACAGATTATGGTACAACTGTTCCAATTAAAGCTTCTTGTTGTCTACCCCGTCCTCAGGAACATCAACAATTCCCTCCCCCTTTACATTTGTATGGGACTCAAACCTTCTTAAAAGTATGTTAACGGAAAGGAACATGGTATTTAGTGTCAGATACGGATGGAAAACTAGGGTCTGTCATATTAGCTGTATAACCTTGAGCAATATCCTTACTGTCTCTGAGTTTCAGTTTCCTCATCTGTAAAACGGTAAAAATTAATACATAGTCCTCATAGTGTTTGAAAAGTAAATAATATAACATAAGTAAAGACATTACAATTGCTGGCACATAGCAAACAATGAGTAAATGGTTTATACAAAACCGGATGTGAAGGAATAGTTAAAAGTTTGGGCTGAAAAACAGAAGAATAATCATTGTAACAGAGAATTAAAACCAGAGGTGTAGTCCCAAATTGTCAATAATGATTTCTTTTGGAGAGATTATGAGATGCACTTTCTTTTTATATCATACATTTCTAAAATGTTTGAGTTTTTAAATAATAACCATGCATTACCTTTGAATTGGAAGGAAATCAAAATGTTTTCAAATACCCATTCTCTTCATTCTCAGTATCTCCATTAAAGTTCTGCTGTTAATCTCTTCCCTAGACTCTACCAAGCTGGAATCTCAGTCTCCCACCCTGAAGCCATTTGCTACATTGCCACCAGAACTCCTCATGTCTAGTCCCTGGATGATTCCATGCTGCTTACAGAATGACATTCAAATTCCCTAGCAGGACTTGGAAAGCTCTTCATAAACTGGTCTCAATCTTTGCAACTTCATACCGCACCCTTTCCTCTGACTCACACAGAGCTCTCATCACACCAGAATTCTTGTCAGTCTCCAAACACATAAAATCTCTTAGATACTCTCACCTTCCTGTGGGCTGAAATGGCAATGAACAAAGTGATCTTAGATAGCATGTGCTGAAGATGACAGAACCCTCTAACGACCTAGAAATCTGCTCTGCACTATTATGTGAGAAATATACTTATCTTGTTGTGGGGCCACTTCACTTTGGGATCTATGTGTTACGGAGGCTTCGCATACCCTAACTAATACATGATACAAGGATATTTCCCTTTCCAGAACTGAAAGAAACAATTCTCCAGTAAAACAATTATTTTGTACCCAAAACCAAAATCATCATAGCATATTACTTTGTTCACTAAGGAATAATAACTATACAATCATAATAATCTAAATATGATTATTAAAACTTAAAGTTATGATAAAATTTATTAAGAGGAAAAGGGAAAGGAAATAGAATGGTGGCAGTAAAAAGACTATCATTTAGTTTATCTTGTCAAAGATACTGCTTAAAATGAACACAGAAGTAAATATATGATGAAAACAATGATGAACAAATTAACAAATGAACAAATAAAAAAGATGAAACTGGTTGTCTTTGGGTGGTAGGTCTGAAAAATGGAGAAGAGGCAAAGGGGCTGGCCTGGTGGGTCCCGGCTATAATCCTAGCACTTTGGGAGGCAGAGGCGGGTGGATCACTTGAAGTCAGGAGTTCAAGACCAGCTTGGCCAAATAGTGAAACCCTGCCTCTACTAAAAATATAAAAATTTGCCATGTGTGGTGGTGGGTGCATGTAATCCCAGCTACCCGGAGGCTGAGGCAGGAGAATTGCTTGAATCTGGGAGGTGGAGGTTGCAGTGAGCCAAGGTCATGCCACTGCACTCCAGCCTGGGCAACAGAGTAACAGAGTGAGACTCCATCTCAAAAAAAAAAAAAAAAAAAAAAAAAAGCAAAGAACTGCTACATATTGATAAATCTGATTTTTAAATTATGTATTATTTTGATATACTTAAATATTTTAAAATGTACAAGAGAGAAAATGAACATCAGTGAGACAGACTAGGTATGAAACAGTAGAATCGAAAACAGGAATACAATAAAATAAAGAGACGTGCTGATTTGAGATGGTGGAGTAGAAAGACAGATGAAGGGAAGAAGACGGTCTGCTGTCCTCAAGCCTTGCTACACCCAGATCTTCAGTCTTTATGATTCAGAGTAGCCCCCAAATGTCCAAGAAACATTTAAAAATAAGTATAGGTAAAAATAATAATCAGGGATTCTATTAGCTAGCTGGACTTTGGTTTTATGGCTTCCCTATAGCCCCATATACATTCTCCTTGGCAGATGCTAGCTACCGGAAAAACTCTCATACCTGTATTTGAGTTCCCAGAACCAGAATATATATATGTGTGCATGTGTGTATAGTGAGGGCATTCAGTCTAATGCAGCAGGAAAAGGGTAAGTGGGCAGCTAGCAATAGGGCAGATACGGAAGCACAAGCAATACTGTAATAGGAAGACACAGAGATAGCAGAAATGTGGAGGAAAGAAAGGCAGTAAGTGGAAACGTAACATTTAGAAACATTAAGGCGCAAAGAAAGGATTTTACTGCATCCTAAGTCATCACAGAGACAGATCTGGAGGGCTGACCTCATGCATGACAGATACCTTTACTGCACTTCCAAAAGGGAACTGATCCTATCTCAAATGAGACTAATGCTATGTACTTTTAACAACTTTTATAAACTCAGCCCTACTTGAAAGCAAGTCATGTACCTACCCTTTGAGGAGCATAAACAGGATGTGAGGATGAGCACTAATATACTCCACAGTAGGACTCCGAGTGCCTATCTGTCTTCTCAGGATGTTGTTAAATATCTGGGTCACATCTTTTTTTCCCTGTTAAAGAAACAAACAGCAATTAAATTGTACACTCTAAATGGATGAACTGTATAATATGTATAATATATACATACATACACACATACACCAACAGAAATGATACCATCCTTTTTAAAATATTAACATACTTTTCCCATATACTCCTAACAAGCTGTGCTTGCAAACACAGTCTACAAAATGGATGCACCTCCTTGCAACAGGATTTGTGCTGGGGGAAATTTGACCAACTGGAAGTACATTTCCCACAGGGCACAGAAGGACATAAAGTGAATATGACAGAACTGAATTTTTTGTTTTTTCACTGTCTACCTTTATTCGAGAAAAAAAAATGATGATTAACATTTGTAAACCTTCATGAATAAGCAAGGAAAACAGATGAAGAAAATAAGTTAATATTTTAGTATAATGTAGGTTAGAATCAAATTCCTTTTTCTTAGATCTACTTCCTTTTTTTCCCTTCATGTTATCACTTCATTCACTATTCTTCACTCTAGTGCCTTGACTTAAAAAAAAGAAAGTGGTTTTCCATTAGGTGGAAATATTTGATCTAGGTGATCATAACAAATATATCTAGTCTGGAGGAATAGAAGACATCACCAAATCAGTGAGACAGAGGAACTAGATATGCAATCATTAATAGGGCTTCTTAGAGTCCTCATGGACAAGACCTGCATTCTCATACACCTTATAATCTGTCTAGTCTCGTTTTCCAAAAGAAAGCTTGGACTGGACCTGAGTATATAATATGAAAAATAAGTACAAGAATTACTGATATGGTTTGACTCTGTGTCCTCACCCAAATCTCATCTCAAATTGTAACCCCTATAATCCCTGTGTGTGGAGTGCAGGACCTGGTGGGAGGTGATTGGATCATGGGGGCAGTTTCCTCCATGATGTTCTCTTGACAGTGAATGAGTTCTCTTGAGATCTGGTGGTTTTATAAGGGGCTCTTTTCCCTTTGCTCATTCACTCTTCTTTCTCCTGCTGTCATGTGAAGAAGGTCTGTGCCTGCTTCCCCTTCTGCCATGATTGTAAATTTCCTGGGGCCTCCCCAGCACTGTGCAACTGTGAGTCAATTAAACCTCTTTACTTTAAAAACTACCCAGTCTCAGATATTTCCTTTTAGCAGTGTGAGAACATACTAATACAATGACATTGCATTCTCAATCAGTATGGCCCCACTTCTGGCCTTCATCTCTCAATTGAACTATGAAAGAGCTTACTTCAGTTACTGTCTCCACTTCTAAGCATCCTCACCCTGCAGAGTGAGCCAGAAGTGCAAATCTGACCATGCCATCTCTCTGCTTAAATTCTTCAATGTCTCCCTTTTGCTTAGAAAAAGGTGCAATACTTTCAAAGACTTGACAGCGGCCAACTTCTCCAGTCTCATCAGCTAACTATGATTTCCAATTCCTACATCAAATTCTATTAGTATCAAATTGCTACACCACATATACACAATATTTTATGCTTCTATACCTTTGTTGATGCTCTTCCTTTTTTCATAAACTCTGTCATTCTTTAAGATTCAGTTTAGGAGTATTCTCCCCTGGGATGAGTGCCCCTCTCTGTACTACAACCATGTCCTTTGCTATATCAATCAGTACTTCCTCTTCCCCATGACCTTCACCTCTACCTCCACAGAAGCAAATACTTATTGAGTGTTTACTCTGTTCCAGGCACTTATGCTAAGAGCTTTACAGGTATTACCAAATTTTCACACCAACCTTATTTTTTAAAATTTCATATTCTTTTTGTTAATTTTTTTCTGGCATGCATACAACAACCTTAGGCATATTATAAACAAGAAATTAAGAATTTATAATATATGTTTTATAAACATGTACAAATATAAATATGTATATAAACATATTATAAATAAGGAAATAAGGATTTGTGAGATTGCCTAGATCTCACCATCCTGTCAGATACTCTAAAATATCTACAAGCACTAACATCATCCAAGAAAACATGACCTCAACAATTGAACTAAATAAGACACCAGGGACCAATCCTGGGAGAATAGACATATATGACCTTTCAGACACAGGATTCAAAATCACTATTTTGAGGAAGCTCAAAGAAATTCAAGACAACACAGAGAAGGAATTCAGACTTCTATCAGATAAATTTAACAAAGAGATTGAAATAATTAAAAACAATCAAGTAGAAATTGTAGGGTTGAAAATGCAATTGACATGCTGAAGAATGCATCAGAACCTCTTTATAACAGAATTGATCAAGCAGAAGAAAGAATTAGTGAGCTTCCAGGTTGGCTATTTGAAAATAAGCAATTAGAGGAGACAAAAGAAAAAAGAATAAAAAACAATGAGGAATGTCTATGAGATCTAGGAAATAGTCTAAAAAGGGCAAGTCTAAGACTTAACTGACCTTAAAGAGGAGGTAGAAAAAGAGATAAGAATAGAAAAAATTTTTAAGAGATAATATCAGAGAACTTCCCAAACCTAGAGAAAGACATGAATATTCAAGCATAAGCAGGTTATAGAACACCAAGCAGATTTAAACCAAAGACGACTACCTCAAAGCATTTAGTAATCAAACTCCCAATGTCAACAGCAACATAAAAATCCTCAAAGAAGCAGGTGAAAAGAAAAAAATAACATACAATGGAGCTGCAATACATCTGGCAGCAGTGGAAACCTTATAGCTAGGGGAGAGTGGAATGACATATTTAATGTGCTAAAGGAAAAAATCTTTACCCTAGAATAGTATGTTTGGCAAAAATGCCCTTCAGGCATGAAGAAGAATTAAAAACTTTCCCAGACAAACAAAAACTGAGGGATTTGATCAATACCAGACCCGTCCTACAAGAAATGCTAAGGGGAGTTCTTCAATCTGAAAGAAAAGCATATTAATGAGCAAGAAGAAATCATCTGAAGGTAATCCACTGGAAATAGGAAGCACATAGAAAAACATAGAATAGTATAACCCTGTAAAGGTGGTGTGCAAATTATTGTTGTCTTAAGGAGAAAGACTAAATGATGAACCAACCAAAAATAATAACAGCTTTTCAAGACATAAACAGTACAATAAAATATAAAGAAAAACAACAAAAAGTTAAAAAGCAGGGGGACGAAGTTAAGGTGTAGAGTTCTTATTAGTTTCCCTTTCGTGTGTTTCTTTATGTAATCAGTGTTGTCATCAGTTTAAAATAATAGTTTATAAGATAGTATATGCATGCCTTATAGTAACCTCAAATTAAAAACAAATACAATGAATTCACAAAACATAAAAAAAAAACAAGAAATTAAAGCATACCACCAGAGAAAATCACCTTCACTAAAAGGAAGACAGGAAAGAAGAAAAGAAGGAAAAGAAGACTAAAAAACAATTGGAAAACAAATAACAAAATGGCAGGAGTAAGCCTTTACTTGTCAATAACAACACTGTACGTAAATGGACTAAAGTCTGCAATCAAAAGACTTGGAGTGGCTACTTGGGAGGCTGAGGTGTGATAATCACCTCAGCCCAGGAAGTAAAGGCTGCAGTGAGCTGTAACTGTGCTACTGTACTCCAGCCTGGATGACAGAGTAAGACCCTGTCTCAAAAACACAAAAAACAAAAAACATAGAGTAGGTGAACGGATTAAAAAAACAAGACCCAAATGATCTGTTGCCTACAAGAAAAATACTTCACCTATGAAGATACACATGGACTGAAAATAAAGACATGGAAAAAGATATTCCATGCTAATGAAAACAAACAAACAAAAAGAGCAAGAGTAGCTATATTTATATCAGACAAACAGATTTCAAGACAAAAACTTCAAGAAGAGACAAAGAAAGTCATTATATAATAAATAAAGGGGTCAATTCAGCAAAAGGATATAACAACTGTAAATATATATGCACTAACCACTGGAGTACCCAGATATATAAAGCAAATATTATGAGAGCTAAAGTGACGGATAGATCCCAATATAACAGTAGCAGATCTTAGATCTGGAACATGACAACTTTACCACTGTTATTCAACATAACGTTGGGAGTATTAGCCAGAGAAATCAAACAAGAGAATGAAATGAAGGGCAAATATCATTAGAGCTAAAGTGAGAGACAGATCCCAATACAACAGTAGCAGATCTTAGATCTGGAACATGACAACTTTTACCACTGTTATTCAACATAATATTAGAAGTCTTAGCCAGAGCAATCAAACAAGAGAATGAAATGAAGGGCATCCAAATTGGAAGAGAATAAGTCAAATTATCCTTGTTTGAAGATGATATGACCTTATATTTGGAAAAAACTAAAAAGTCCACAAAATAACTATTAGAATAGATGAACAAATTAAATAAAGTTGCAGGATACAAAAATTAACATACAAAAATCAGTAGCATTTCTAGATGCTAACAGTGAACAATCTGAAAAAGAAACCAAAAAAGAAATCCCATTTACAACAGCAACAAATAAAACACCTAGAAATTAACCAAAGAAGTAAAAAATCTCCAAAATGAAAACTATTAAAAAAACCGATGAAAGAAATTAAAGAGGATACACAAAAAAGGAAAGATATTCCATGTCCATGGATTGAAAGAATCAATATTGCTAAAATGTTTGTGATCTACAGATTCAATGCAATCCCTAACAAAATGCCAATGACATTCTTCATAGAAGTAGAAAAAACCATCATAAAACTTACATGGAACCTCAAAAAACTGAGAAGAACCAAAACTATCCCAAGTAAAAAGAACAAAACTGACAAAATCACATGACCTGACTTCAAATTATACTACAGAGCTGTGTAGTAACCAAAACAGCATGGTAATGGCCAGAAAATAGACACATAGACCAATGGAACAGAATAGAGAACTGAGAAACAAATTTACACACCTACAGTGAACTCATTTTTTACAAAGGTGCTGAGAACACACATTGAGGGAAAAAGAGTCTTCAATAAATGGTGCAGAGAAAACTGGATATCCATATACAGAAGAATAAAATTAGACCCCTATCTCTTGTCACATACAAAAATCA